AGGGAGAGGATGCAGCAATGATGTGATGTTGACTCATTCTCTCCACGATCACGACACATCTTCGATTTCTATCTTCTTCATATTTGTCATCGTCTCCCACCAGTTCATCCTCTCCATCTCAAGACACTGAATCACGTTGAAGGTTGGAAACTTCGATCTCGAGATCGGTGTTTCTCACTGCCATAGCTTCCTCTACCTTCATGGCCACCTGATTCAAACAATCGAACTCTTTCTCCAAACCTTCCAACTTGTCTTGCATCTTTTATTCATCTTCTCAGACCAAGTGACTTCTCTCCCCAAACGACTTCTTTGATTCCTAATAATGGTGGCTATAGCTTTGATAGCTTGATTAATTTGGCTTGATTGATTCTTAGGTGATAGTAGCTGTAATTCTGGCAGTGGCTTGGATATCGTGTTAGGTTAGGGTTCTTGAGATGAGGGCATATTAGTAATTTCACACTATAAAGACAAATATCAAATAAAAATAATACATGAATTCCATATGGATCCAAACATATTTTGTAATTCTATTTCCATGTCCATTTCTATCTCTATATTCATATTTATCTCCATCTTCATTTTCATTATACTGAACAGGCCCTAAATGAATCACAAAAGGAGGGCATGTTGATTCAAAAACTCTTGAGATAGTTGCTCTCAGCTATGATTGGTTTGGGGTGCTACGAGGTGTTGCTTTAAACACAAGTTCTGGGTTCCATATTCATATGTTCTGAACATCTTTGTTGTTGTTGTTGTTTGTTTTTTGGTTTTTTTTTTTAATGATTCTATCTTTGCCAGTTTCATGGTCTTCTTATCTTGGATGTGGGGAAGACAACCCTCACAAACTTTTCATGCGAGAATGTTTTGGGATGCATACTCGTCTCAAGCCCAATCAAGGAGGATTACTGTGCTTGAAGTTGCATGAAGGGATCAAGGTTGAATCGCTATTGGGCTGTTGGGATTCTGTTTGTTGCTTTTTTGAGGATTTTCTTCTACTTTTTCCTGATTTTGTGGTTGTCATCAAATGCAAGCCACTTTGGCTTGAGCTTATTATCCAAAGGTTATACTATTCTAATGGTTTGTGGATGGTTTCTGGTTGCTAGTGAAATCACAGCTCCTTCATAGCTGTCAGTGTTTGATTTTAGATTTTTAAAGGTTTCCATATTTATTGACATGACAAAGCAGCACTCTTTTAATCAAGTTGCTGTGCGAAAAACATAATTTGGTAAAGAGTATCCAGATGTGTCTATATAGCTTGGTTCATTTTGACCAAAAAGCAGAGCGTAAATGCGTAATGGTTTTGGCAAATTTTTACTTCGAAGAGTTGGTTTGTAATTAGAAATGCACAGTTGCACAATACACTTTACAAGATCAAAAAATAGTTATATTGGCTAACATGTATTTATGATTTGTATTATAGTTTATACACGTAACTTAGTGTGCAACATATATATAATACAATTTTGACATTTTTTTTAGATTCAAAGTGATTACATGTAGTTTGTTTATATACACTATTAGGGACCGAATACCAGTCAATGAGTTTAAACACCTAATATCGTGATCAAATAAATGAACCGCAGGTGAGGGGAGGATGAAGGACAAGAAGTGGATTCAGGTGAGTGGATGAGGAAGGACAGAAAATTTGTTTCTTTCGTATCTTGCAGCTGTGTTTCTTTCTCTGATAGTCAAACAAATGTATAGTTTCTCTTCCTATGACTCGTCAATCCATCATGCCTAATTTGTGAAAAATACATTGCCCTATTCATTAACACTGAAAAAGGTTTATTGGCCTCTCTCTCTCTCTCTCTCTATATATATATATATATATATATAAAGTGTATTGGCAATGCATAAATCAAATTCATTTATATTTTTCTGTTAAAGCATTTAGCTGTCTAGAAAATGCTTTTTAGTTTCTTGGGTACATAGACGACATTAAAAGTTTTGAGGAAAAATGATATGGTTGGAAGAGATTTTCTACATGGAAAATTGGCTAATTAACGTGTTCCCTCCTTTTTTTCTGTACTCTTTTTGGAGGAATGATATTTTGTTATCTTAGATACAAATATTTTGATACAGGACAACTAAATGATAGTTTATGATAAATCCAAATCTCACGGTGTGTTATTTTATAAAAAATAATACTAATTAAAATAGCCTTATAATTAAAATAAAATTCAATTTATAAATTCAATCTAGTTTAAAAACAAAAAAAAAACAAATGGTTTAACTATTTAAATATACTTCTAAAAACCTAAATGATATAATCCTAACTAATCTAAGAATCTAAATGATAAATCATATCCTAATGGAAATATTTTATCTTTATTTAAATTTAAAACAAGATAAACTAATTTTCATAAAACTAAATATGAATTGGGCAGGGAAACAAACGTGTGATCATGCAAAAGTGGATTTTAGATTAGAGGGGGCACAAATAAAATTTTGTTAGGTGATGTGAGGGGACAATTTTTATAAGATAATTTTGTTCTTATTTGTATTTCTTGGAATAATGTCATGTAGGATGTACATGTAGCATATCCCTCTTTGTTTTGTTTGGCCTGGAAGGAATGAGCAAACATGATTTAAAAATTTAGTCATATGGAGAGCTACCATAAATTTTGGACCAGATTAAATTTTTATATTCCAATTTTCAACTGCAAATAATTTCAATCAGTCTAATATTTAGAAAAGGCTTTTCACCAAATATCTTGCGCATTTTTTTGGGGTTATTATATTTTGTTAAACGCTATGCAAGTTTTTTATGATAAGAATATACTAATTAAAAGTTCTTTTAAAAATCAGTGAAAATGTCAGCTTTAAAAACTGTTTTTTGCATTTCTCAAATGCTCAACTTATGGATCGCAACACTATTATTTTTTCATATCATCTATACAAGCACAAAAGTAAATATAATTCAATAATTTCATAGCTTAATTAATCCAAGTAATTTGTTATGAAATTATTGCTGTCTTATAACAGTCACAGAGCATAGGCTTACTGTGCAACGCATGGAGGAGTACACGCTGGTTATGTGAAATGGCAAAATCAGCCCCAGCCCCGCATCAACACTTCCGTATATCTTTAGATGCATTTCACACAACAAGCATGCACGCGCACATAGTCATGGGCTTCTTTTCTCGTGGGCCTTTATGGTACAGAAAGGCTACAGGCTTGACATTCGGTTTCCATTTACCCCCAAAAAAAAAAAGAATTACTTTCTTCTTGTGATTTGTTCGGTTTCAGTATTTTTCAGAGTCTTAAAAATGAACTGCACTATCTATAACTTAAGAAAGAACAATTTGTTAAGAAATTCATATTGCGTATTGATTTTCAATATGATCGTTGTTTTTCCTAAACAACTTTTTGCCAAAGAAAGGAAAGTGAAGATGCTGCAATTCTTCCATGGACTCTTTTTTTTTGGGAGCAAATCTTCAATGCGCTTATTGCTTTTAATTAATACAAGTATTTTGGGATGAAATCAAATATGTCAAATATTTATTTTGACATCCTTGTGTTAAATATATAATGAATAAATAAGTTTTTTAATGAATTCTGCTAGGTTGAAGGGGTTTAGTTAAAAAAGGTACAATATTTATATTTTAGCTGTGCTCATTTTACAACTCAACTCAGTTCAAGATAGAAAGGCACAACTTAAAAGAAGCTAAATTTTGACCTTGTTTATAAGACATAGGTAGAAGATTAATTTTTATCCTATTCATAAAGTAAAGAGAGAAGATTAATATTAATCCTATCTACAAGGTACTTTACTATTTTGTGTTTATCCTTACCTTTGGGCCCTATTAAAAATAATTATTCTTGTCTTTATTAGGTAATAGAGATAAAAACTTATTGAATTTTAAAATAGAGTTAATGAATTTTAAGATTTTTTTAGTTTCAATGAAACATGCTGGAAGTGACTTGTAAATAAGTTCAGAGGGAGATCATTTTGTTTAGAAAAAATTAATCATTTAGTCCCTATAGTTTTGACTCAATTATAACACAATCTTTAAACTTTGACTTGTTGTAACTCAGTCTTTATAGTTTTAACTCAATAGTAATATAATCCCTGAATTTTACCTCTTATAATTCAGTTTCTATAGTTTTAATCATTAAAATATTAATCTTTATATTTTAAAAAATGAAACTGTAAAGATTAAAAATATTTTAAACTTTTAATATTTATAAAAATTAAATGGGTTTAGTAATTTTAAATATCATTTATAAAGTATAACATAATTTTAATATTTATAATTTTATTTTTTAATATATAGGGACAAACATTTAAATAATTAAAACTATAAGGATTGAGTTGTAAGAATCAACGTTTAAGAATTGAGTTATAATCAAGTCCAAACTTCAAGAGCTGAGCTATAATGAGTTAAAGTTTAAAAATTAAGTTACAACTGAATCAAAACTATAAAGATTAAATTATTAATTTTTCCTTTTATGTGCCAGAAGAGAAGCTAAATAGATAAATACTCCCTCCACAAATTATAAGATGCTAATCACATATACTAATAAAGTTGTTAAATGTATTTTACAGCTTTTTTTTAAAATAAAAATATAAACTTTTTTAAAATGCTCTTCATTTAATACATCATTTATAAAAGAATATAAAAAAGAGAGAATATAATGGAAATGGTAATATTAAAAAAGTATTATTAATAAAATTTTATTTTTGTTAAAATGTTTTATAATTGGGATGGAGGGAATACGAATTAAAGATGTGTGGAAGACATGAATAATAATGTCAAAAGGCCTCTCATGTTGATTTAGATATTTTTGAAAAACCATTTTTGTTGTGTGTCACTGTCTACGCAATAAAATCGATCATGGTCACTAAATGAACAATGACTAATTTCAAATCAAGTCATTCATTAATCTACTCAACAAACCTCCATCGCACATGCATCAACTTGATCAACTCATAAATTATTCTTTAGATTTTAACGCAACAAATTTATTATAAATTATAAATAAATGAAAAGTTTGGCAATAATCAAGAGTACATTTCCAATTTTCCACGCGGGATCGGATCACGTAGGTGGTGGGACTTGACTCTTACTGGGTGAATTAAATAGGCTTAATGTCTCCAAAAGACACATACATACTAAAGCGCAGGGCAAGGCATTGTTTATTTATTTAATTTAACAATTTCGTCACGATTAAGGATATGTTTAGAATAAGTGGAGTAGGTGCTCGCTGCAAGGGAAGCATAATTGCCTTGTGCCCCCCCCCCCCCCGGGGGTTTCCGACACTGATAATCACATATAAATGAATTATTGGATGTTGAATGCATTTTCAGGCTCCATTCAGAGCCCTGCATTGGTGGATTCCGCGTGTAACAGGCACAAATCTCGATCACTATTATAGCTGTCATCATGCATTTAATATCTCGCCACTCACTACACCACTACTACACTTCGACGTTCCCTTCATCTCATCTTATTCAATTGAGTTCCCCATACCACTCTTGCTTCCAATCATTTCCTTCGACACTAAACATTCTCATCATCATCTTGTATTACATTGATTATAACATCTCCTTCTTAATTTGCTCATCCGCGTTGGAGTTTTGTTGTGTTACTGATGAACTTGCTTATTTAATGCAACTTTATCGGCTTGGTACTCGGCGATCCAGCCTTTGATTATCCTGATCTCTGCCTTCCTCTGCATCACCAGCCATTCAGGATCACTTGGTTTCGCTTCAAGTATGTCCAGGCAATGAGATCCTGCGATTTTTTCCCAACAAATATCATATCCCGTGCATGTAAAAAAATCACTAAATTAAACTATGCATGGTCGTAAGGGTCAAGGCGTGTACCATTGACCGTTGACACTGCAATGATACTATCGGATATATCCTCCAACACCCTGCAATTTATTCAATATGCGCGCGCGCGCATATAAAAGAAGTCACAGACTTTTTTTTTTTGGCCAAAAAAAGAAGTCACAGACTGAAGGGAACTGATAGCAATTAAAAAGAAGACGGAGGGGTGGAAAAAGAAGAAAAATGATGTCATGACCAAAATTATTTTATTATCGGCGTACCCGCCGGAACTGTACGGATCTCTCAATCCATTGGAGAAGATAATGTTGCTGGCAAATCTATACAGAATCAGTTTCAAGTCCTGGAAATTCGTCGAGGACATGTGAGAAAGCATGGTCTAATAATTAAATGAAAAAGAAAAGATGACGTGATTAATTTAAAGAAAGGTGATTAAAAATAATATGAACGTACAGGACCCCCATAATACGTTGTCACCCAATGAGGCCGTGGACGAACGCCATACAAACTCCTGCATCTATCCACAAAGCTCTTCAGACTGAATGGAGCCGGTGGGAACATTGTATCGTTCCTATCATGACCGATTGGCATCACCATCTCGCTACAGCTCTATTAATTGCATACATGATGCCCAGTTATAATTTCATTAATTCATGACTCAAAACACTTGAAGCATGTAAACAATGGGGCTTAATTATGTTTCGTATTAATTAGACTTTTAACCTGCCAGTTCCATCCGATGTTAGTTTGGGTGTCGTGATTGAACTGATTCGTGTCGTAGCAAGACTCATTTCCGTTATAAGCCACCAGACCTTCAAATATTTGGCCGAGAGTATCTGTTTTCTTCGCTGCTGCATCAATGGCTTCACAGATCACACTAACTGGGTACTCTGGAGGTTCATTATACTGAGCTGCCTCCGTATATGTTAAATCCAAGTAATTCTTCAGCTCAGAACTGTTGTCCAGTTTTCTGAAATAACATATTATGAAAACAAATAGAGAACAGCCTTTTAGTAAGGGAAAGTGAGAAAACATTTGTATATATGCTGGTAAAGGCCATGAATCTATGGCGGAGAAGAAAACTGCTGAACCTGCAAGTTCTAAATGTCTTGGTGAGAATTGAAAGGCCATTAGGCATCTTGGCTACTCTGTCAATTTCAGACCACGATTTACGTATAGTTTGGTAGCAGCTCTCACTAGCTTCCTGGACCACCACCATTCAAAATAGAGTTGAGAATAAACTTAGAAGTTCGAGTTCATGGTCGTTTCCACACATATTCCATGGAGTCCAATGTTATTCGATATGACTTTCTAGGTTAGGTCTATATCTTCACAATGATAATTAATTATTAATAAAATAATAATGTAAATTACTTTAAAATCCTTGGTGACAATATAGTAATATCCGGCTTTCGGGGCGAGGCCACTGAAATATAGAATTGGTGCTGATGAAGCCAGGGCACCGAGAGCAATGTGGGGATACTTTAGCCTGAACCATGAGGCAAGCACTGCATAAGAAACAGAAAATTAAGCCTAAGAAGTCGGTTCTTAATGTATTCATTAAGTTATATACATATACATGTAGTTTATGTTTGAAGATCAATATTGATGGCATATATTGTATAGATTTGGATTCAGTAATTGTAATTAATACAGGTATTGAACGCCTCTAACATTTGACCTGTTGAAATACAAATTAACAGTTTATATAAACTCACTCATCTATTAATCTTAAGTAAAGTATGAATTCAGAATTATTGATATGAATTTTAACAGTTCAAATATTAAATGCAGTCAGTGCTTGTATTAAATATAATTATTAAATTTAAATTCTATATTATATGCAATAGTTGATCAAAAAACAAGAAAGTTGTATGCGGTCACGTACTTCCACCATAGGATCCTCCGATAACGATGATGGGAGAACTCTGAGCAGACAAACGTTCCTTTATATGTAAAAGCACCGTAGCATAGTCTGCTAGAGCTTGGGCTGAGTTGAAATAGCCTCTCGTGTTTGCATTTTTCATTGCTTTTTTCATGGACCCGAAGGGTATGGATTTCCCGTAGTATCTATGCTGTGCTCTCAAACCATATAATATATAAATGAATCAATGATCACAATAAATTAATTATACTAAACAAGTTATGAGTTGATCTCTCATACCTCAACATAAACAATAAGAGCATTGAATTGAGGGGCGTTTTCTCTGAGGAATCCAACAACATTTATATCGTCGTCCACGGGCTCTTCTGCACCAAGGTATGTAAAAATGGGCGCGCTCGAGTTAGGTCCAGCCCAGTAGTTAGAATTTATCATATACCTTTGTCGAAAAGTGGCGTAGCTGTCTGGTCTGTAGTTGAAGTGATCAAGTGTTTGGGTATAGTAGAATGTCCGGAGGTCCTCGGCCAGTTTCAGGCCAGACGAGATTTGTGGTTTATGTTGTTTATCGATTTTCCTTGAAATTCCTAACCTTGGAATGATGTTGAGAGCATCAACACCGAGGAAGATCAACAGGAAGATCAAAGAAAACCGCTGGAATGAGCACGTAAGGTTAGCCATGGCCCAATTTTGGGAGAATGAATGTCTCTTGGTTGAAGGTAGCCTCTAGCTAAGCGTATGTTTATACACAAGCTACACGATCGTGGAGAGACTGTTTGAAGCACTACACGATCGAGGAGATGCTGTTTGGAGCACCACCACGTCCAAGGTCCACGATGATCCATCCGCGTGCTTTTTTGTTTTGTTTTCAGATCAGAATACACGTTTTTGTAACTCATGACACTGCATTGCAGTTTCAGAAAGTGTAAATAGTGGGATAAGATATAATTAAGATTATTTAGATATTTAAAATTATTTTACTAGATATTTAGATTTTTTTTTTGAATTCGTTAGAATTTAACTTTATTTTTTTTATCGTTATCTTTGTTATGATTATTTTAGATTTTGTATTTACCTTTAATGAAAAAGGTTGTCAAGCTCATTTAGAGTAACTGTTTATTTTATTATAGTTAATTATCTTTTAAAGTTAGCATCGGTTGACATTTGACTTATTTTTTTAATATTTTTATGGCTCTATAGTGAGTAGTTCTATGAACACCTTTTTCTCTCCCCTTTCCCTTTCCTAGGCCCTTTTTAAATTATCGTTGTTAGGGCCTTAATCAAATAAGATAAAATTCAGGGAATCAATAAAATTGGAGCGAATAATTTGTACAGGCATTGTCGTTTGGTTCGTAATCCTGCAGCCCGTTTAATTAATAACCAGGCCCCACCGTGCGGCAAAGTAAAATATAGAACATTAAAAAAAAAAAAATCATACATATAATGAGCTAGATTAGAGGTGTCAATTAGGGCCGGCCCTTCAAGGGCCAGGACCTAAACAGGTTGGTCCTTTTAAGCCTGATTATACTTTAGGGCTCTAGTTTTAGTAGCCCGGCCTTGACCCTTAAGGTCTCGGGCCTAATTATTTTTTATTTTTTAATTTAAAAATAAAAAAAAATTTAAAATTCCAACAAATATATTACACATCACATTAAGTCTAGAAAAATAAAATAAAATTAATTCACACAACAAAAATTTTAAGTCTAATTAAAAAAAATAACATCCCAAAATTAACTCTGACATCAATTACATATTGATAACATCATCAGCTAAATTTTGATAATTTTTATCATTATCAATATCAATATGATTTGATCCTTCTCCTTGTGGATCCTCATCAATGTAAAATATGTTAAGCTTTTCATATTTTTCTTCTTCATTCTCATTATTTGCAATAAATAACAAATCAAAATCATAATTTCAAGATATTTAAAGAATATAAAAATATTTAAAGTAAGAAAATAATAATGTGCGTGTCTATTATTTGGACTAGAGAGTGAGTGTTACTGCTGAGCTTGAGTGATATGATGTCTTCTTTTTATTTTTTTATGTTATTTTTTTAAAAAAAATATATTAGGGCTTAAAAGGGCCGGCCCTTTTAAGCTCGATTTACCTTTTTTAATACCAAAGTAGCGGCCCAGCCCTTAATTTTTTCGGGTTTAAAAGGGCCGAGCTCATAATTGACAGCTCTACTATTGATGAATATATGAAATACATAAAGTATGATAACTAGGTGATACTCATTATGATAAATATAATTAAGGCTTTGGCCTCTTGCTACCAATTATGAATGGGTTTGAGTTGTTAAATGTTATGCTGGTGAATATATATACTATATGGAGCAAGTTACAAAGAGGAAATAAGGGGGAAGTCTTTTTTTTTTTTCCATCTTGAAATGTGTTTCTTAATACTCAATCAGTCTCATGTTTTGCATAAGTTTAATTGAATGATGTGAGTTCTTGTAATATTTTAAAGATTTAGAATCCCTTTATTTTAGATAGTTTGTGAAAATATATGTTTATGACTTATTTAGGTTAATCTCTTATAGGATAATTGTAACATCCTAGAAATTTAAACCTAATTAATTAAGCTTAATGAGGTTAATTAAGTTTATTGATGTGGTGTGTGGCTAGCGGGGTCTAATTTGTGTAATTGATTGTGATTTCAACCCTAAATGTGGGTTCGAAGTAAAGTTAGACCATTCATGCATCAAAAAGGGAGGAGAATTGAAGAAGGGTCTTCTGTGCCACATGCCGCGACGGGAGGAACATTTGTTGCGGCATACAAGGACAACCAAGATGACCTGAGCCTCTGTGTGCCATGCACCGTGATGTGGGTTGCATATGCTGTGGCACATGGCCAAATTTTTCCATAATTGGGTTCGTGTTTGTGTAAAAAATTAGAGGAGAGGAAAAGGAGAAAATAAAAGCCATGAAGTTGCTTTGCTAGGGCATGAATTTAGAACTCAATAGAGATATTTTAAAGCTTCTTAACTCACAAGGTAAGTGCATTATGTCTTCCTCTTTCCTTTCCTTCCATTGATATAAAAGTTAAAGTTAGGGTTTAAGTTGGGAGAGTGATTTTTGGTCCATATGAGCTATATGTACGAACTCATTAGCTAAAATAGATATAATGGGAGTAATTTAGTATATTTAAACCTCACATTTATGATTTTATAAGTTGTTAGTGGTTGGAGGCCATTAATACCAAAAAACAGCAATAATTATGGTTGTTGGGGTTGTGTTGAATCCATTAATGATGGTTTAATGACTCATTTATGTCAATGTGGGTTAATGAAATTTAATAAACTCATTTGGGTATGATGGGTAGTGAGTTTATGAATTTGATGAAAGAGAGTATGTGAAGTTGTGATGTTGAAAATTTCCTAAATATGGGGTAATAATGAATATCCTAGTGATTTTGTGGTAGACTATTAGTTTTAGCACCATTCAAGTTTTAGAATAAGCTTTAGAAGTTTGATATTTTAAAGGATAAACCTTTGACCACTTAAAGGTTTAATGTAACTAGAAAAATCTGATTTAGATAGTTGTACGTTAATTAAATTGTTTGTTGAATGAGTTTGTTTATAACTTATTAGATGTTTGAAAACTCTTTTATACAAACTTTAGCAAGGTGATGATGATTGTGTATGTGACATTATGCTGAGTTATCTGGAACATTAATATGCTTGTTATTCCTATGACCCATGATGATGATTTGCAAATATGATATTATGAAAATGTATTATTTGTGATATATAATATGTGGAGTATGTTGAAGTGAGAAAATGGTATGAATATAATATGAGGTTATGAATTGTGTTTAAAATGATGTGTTAAGTGTCAATATGTGTATAGCATGATCATTGGTGGGAGTTCGCATAAGGAAAGGAGTAGATTGGTAAATCCACGTGGTACTGGTTGCTTACTGTTAGAATCGGAAGCTTGCCTTAGCACTAACTGTTGGAATCGAGAGGTAACTATTGTCCTATGATTGATTTGAGATTATCTTAATTGTTCTTCGAGGGACTCAAAAATCTAATTAGTCTCTACCAATTTATGATGAGACTAGATTAGGGATACGACACCCTATAATTGTTAGTATTGAGGAAAATCATGATACACAAGTGAGTGAGTTAACCTTGGCCCGGTAGCTCCTCACAAGTAAAAGGTTGGGTTAGTTTGAGTTGTGGATATAGGCACTTAATAGCCACCAGTTTCATGTCTAAGATAACAAGAGGATATAAGGTTGGCATTGATCATGTATTTAGTTTCGACCACATGGTTGTTATTATTGTAGTCCAGCGTGTTTCACGGGCGCATGGTTGTTATTTTTATAACCTCAAGATATACATAATTGTGATATGTCCTATGATTGCATGTCCGGTCACATTGTTGTTATTGTTGTGGCTGAGGCTATATTTGTTATACGTGTGTGTTATATGAGTTTATTGCCATTTTTATCTATTTTTAATTGATATGCAATTATATAAGCTAGGTTAACCTTAGTTACTGAATAGTTATACTCATTCTTCATTCTTCAATATTTTTAAGGCCTAACTTATTAGATTAGGATTGGGGAAAGTGACCTGAGGCTGAGGATTTCCTAAGAATCCTACTAGTAGGCCTCTTAGATTTATTTTGATGTGTGTTTTGCTAACTAGAAATTCATTCCGTTATTTTGACTACTTGCATTATCATTGTGAATATTATGTGTATTTTTATGCTCTGGGCTAATGGTAAAGTGGTTGTAAAACTTGTATAAGGTCAAAATACTTGTGCAAGTAGAATAAAGTGTATTTTGGTTGTTTTGGGATAAATGTTGATGATTTATGCAAAGTTTACCTTCCCCTTATGTTTTTGTAAATTGAGGGGTTGAGGGTTGAATTTATGACATGTGTGTATTTGAATGGGTGTGGTGTGTTGCACGAGTCCTAAATGATCTGTTGAGTATGGTTTAAGGATTAATGTAAGTTATTGGCACATTTATTAGAGTTTGGACACTCTAGTTGTGAGTTTTGTGAAAAAAAGAGTAAAATTGATAATGGGTGTCCGACTTTTGTTAGAAAAATAAATTTGGGTGTGAAAGTTGTGCCATTAGTTAGAGCTAGGAGAAAGTTTTTTATAGACACTAAGATCACCTTAATTGAACGTCGGATGAAGAAAATTTGATAGCAAAATGCCGTCAAATTTGTGCAATGCACCATGATGCATAGCGCCTCATGCCACGGTACACCTATAGTTAGCTGCAACGCACGTGCAGTTTTTTACATAGTTCACTGTTTTGATGTTTTATGCAAATGTTATAATTCTTTCTTGATTCCCATACTTTTGCAAACATTTTAAACTCTGATTCGAGATTATTGAAAGTATATGGGATCATTTTAATTGTGAAAATTTGTAATTTTTATTGGGTTTAGACCCTTGATTACAATTGGCTTTTGGAGTTAATTGTGTTTATGTAAGGGCGACCTTACAATAATTCTTTTAAGTTAGTCCTTGATTATCTATGATTAGTATGATAATTTAAATCTTAATTTAAGGTACCCTTACACATTGACATCAATTTATAATACTGTCATGCCTTTATCCTCCTTCTTCTACAAGATTCTTAATCTGCTACATAAATTTTTTACATTTCGTTCCTTTATCCGTAGAGCTCAAAATACACGCCGGGCTTAATGGGCTACCCATTTAAG